AGAAAGCGGCGCACGAGTAAGCGTTGTCGTTTCTTTTGTTCTTAAGACATACCTTCCCCATATTACTTCCCTTATTACTCTACAGTAACAATTCAGTACACATACTAAAATGTTTATATGAATAAGAGGCACCTGAATCACTAGACGCTTAAATTGACGAGTTGCACTTATGTTTACTTTCACTTCAACCATCCTACGGGACTTGTAACGTAATCGCTTTTTTACCTGTAATATATCATTGTTCATTGTTCTTGCAGCACAAGGCGTCAGTCGCAGTAGTCATGCAGCTGCGTAAGTTCGCCCACACACCCACACAAAATACGAGGAGGCCACTACAAGGATAGGAGAAATCTTCGATCGAGGTGACACTCCCGATCAAAAGAGGGACTCGCAAACTCGCCCGCTGCTTGCACAGTTCGGTAGCATTGTCGTGATCAAAATACGCTGCACATCGCCTAATCTCCTTACTCCTCATTTCTTGCTAAAAATTTTATGCTTTTCAGAGAAGAGTAATGTGTAAACTTGATTTTGCGAATGGTCCAATTAGTTTCGCATAACATCCGATTTGTTTTGCAAACGTCTGATGTGTTTTGCGAAACGTCCAAAGTAGTTTGTAAAACGTCCGTTTTGAAGTGAAAATTGTGTATTTATTTATGCTAGCCTTTGGTATATTCAGTGTATAAGTTTTATTGCGTAGCTCTCGTATTTAGCTATGTTGCATTTTTAATTTGTGCAACAAAAGAGTTTCATGGTCATATTCGTCTTAGCCCACCGAAATACTACGGAAGAGAACGTTCTTCAAGTCAGTACTTATTTCATTGTTGACTAATTGTTGTAGCATCGCCATGTTTATTAGCAACCCACCGTAGTCGTGTTCCTAGTGATCAAGTGTGCCTTCAATTCGCCGGATTGATGGACTGTCTACACATGAATGGTGTGCCCGCTTGATAGGTAAACGTTATTAGAGCGCTGTACGCGCCTAGTTCGTGCTGAGTGGGGGGCTTGCAGCAATCTGTCACCACATTCCAATATCTCCAGCAGTGTGAAACTAGGTTGACTGGAATCACCTCTCCCCTTTAACTTCGCTATTGACGATATAATGGAAACGGCGTTCGCCGAGCCATGTCTACACGTTGTGGAGCCGTTCCCAGCGGATCGACTTCCTGATTTTGGAAATGCAAGCGACATTGCCCTAATCTATGAAAGTTCCCGAACGTGCCAAATAGCGCTGGCCAAATTAGCGCTGGCTGTCAGTCGTTTCGGGCTATTTTATGTTCCATAAAGCTACAAATTCCTTCTCCAAGATTAGCAGCGACTCAGTCATGCGCTGACCCTTGGAGGCGATCAACTAGAAGTCGTCCAGAAATTCAGGTATCTCGGCCGCTATATTAAGGTTCGTGGGATGGAAGATGAGACCAAAAACCTTATACCGAAAGCGCTTTTGCCAACTGCTGTCAAATGTGGCGCCTGTTTGACATCACACTCTCTCTGTCCCTTTCACTCTGAAGGGCAGTTTTCAATGCAACCGTCCATTCAACCTTCGGTACGGTTGTGAAACATGGCCCATCAAGTCGACCGTCGCTGCCTTCGCAGCTTAGCTCATGTCTGGTGGGAGCACTGCGTAAGCAATATATATGTTCGGCGTCGCGTATTTGGTGCAGTAACGACGCGTGAACATCTGAGCACCATTATGTCACGCGGCAGGCTTCGATGGCTGGGCTACGTGTTGCGTATATCAGCACACTGATTCCCGCGTCGTGCGTTGTTTCCGCGACCGGCGTGTAATTGATGGAAGAGGAGGGGAAGTTAAGTGACGACTTGGTCAAGAGGAATTAAGGCTCTTATTTCGAGGTTGGCCTCGGTTAGAGCCTCTAGGCTCCCTGGTCGTGGTCCGGACGACGATGACCATGTTAGCTGGATAAATTTTTTGGCTTGGCAAAAAATGGAGCTCAACGGCATTTGTGTTGTGCGTTTCTTTGTCAAGTTCAAGTTCAAGTTCAATTGGGACCGGAACAGTAGGAAAATCCCGCGAATGTTCCACCTTCGAAAACATCGTTGATCCAACAGGGAAACCGGTGCCTTGATGTGCCAAAGGAGAGCCAAATCAACACACACGATTCATATGGTCAACCAAACAATGCCCACGTGCCCTGCACTAGCAGTCCCCGCTGTGCCGGCCACGTGAAGAATAAAAGAAAACAGTAGTGTCAGTAAAGAAAAGAAACAGCGGAGAAGACAAGCTAATCGAATATCGTAGGCAATATTAAGATGTAAGTTAAAATGAGTTAAAGAAGCGTAAGCCGTAATAGACGAAGAAAAGTTTAAGACACGAAGGGGAAGACTTTAAACTGCGGACCGAGAGCGTCAAGTCGATGCTCGAACTCTTTCAACGTCGGTGCCATCACGACGTCTGCAGGCAATGTGTTCCAATAAGCTATAACCCTACGCGATAATCTAAAAGTTGCCAAAACCCGGTCAGACCGGGGTTTGTGCAACTTTAATGGGTGGCCACGAAGGGTTGGCATTCGAGTTGGGCGAAACAGTCCAGTCAAATCAGGACCAATCTGACCCATCAATATACGATATGTAAGGACCAAGTCGCCCCGAAGCCGCCTGTAATACATGGAAAACATATCCAACTTACGTAGCCTCTCCGGGTACGTCAGCTTCTTTAAGTCGTACACCATTTTCGTCCCGGACCGCAGGACTCGTTCAACTGCCATCTTATCACGAACCAGGCATGAAGGACAAGCCTGGACGCAGTATTCCAAGTGCGGCCTTACAAAAGCCGAAAATAGTCTAACAAACATGTCGGTGGTCATGATCTCGAATGACCTGCGGATCATCCACAACATGTTGAAGCCTTTACGAGCAGCTGTCTTCCAGTGTTCACTGGACTTGAAGTCAGATGACAGCAAAACACCGAGGTCAGATTGGAGTTGAACTCGCGGTACCTCGTTGCCGGCAAGCAACTAACGTGTCGGCGGGTCATTCGGACCCAAGCGTAGAACGGAACATTTCCCTAAATTAACTGGCAACTGCCACAAAATTGACCAGTGCCAAAGTCTATCCAGAGCCTCCTGTAGGGTCAGTGGACCAATCGGATCGTCTATCGTCAACCAGAATTTTAAATCATCCGCAAACATTAGGGATGGCACACCCAATTCATCAGGTAGGTCATTAACGTATAAAGTGAAGAGAAGGGGGCCAAGAACCGAACCTTGCGGCACGCCACTGAGAACACATTGGCGGAAGGACAAACTTGAACCCACCCGCACACACATTTCCCTTCCGATTAGGAAAGCTGAAATCCATCGTAAGACTGGTCCAGAAATACCAAAGGAATTCAGCTTGTACAAAAGGCGCAAATGTGGAACGGTGTCAAAAGCTTTGGAAAAGTCAATAACCAGCACGTCCACTGCCTTCCCGCAATCAACGGCTTCGGCCCAGTGTTCACGAGCCGTTAACAAGTTAGTAAGGCAAGAATAGCTCTTACGAAAACCGTGCTGAGAAGGATTAAGCAATTCAAACGCTTTCAAATGTCCTTCGAGAGCGTCTCTCACGAGCTTTTCCAATAACTTGACCAGCACGCTCGTTAAACTGACCGGTCTATAGTTATCAGGGAGGTGCTTATCACCTTTCTTAAAAATGGGGCAAACAATAGCCTCCTTCCAGTCCTTGGGTAGAGAGCAGCCTCGTAGAGACTTCACAAAAAGATGCGTAATCGGAGAGCAAAGTTCATCAGCCAACTCGTACAACAGTTTGGGATGAAGAGCATCTCCACCGGCAGCTTTATTGGGATTTAATTGCCTCAGAAGCCGGAGCACTTGAGCCTCGGTTATAGAAACCTCGTCCAAGTGGGAGCCCTCAGGAACTTTTGCCTGGAGACTGATATGCGGCGGCTGTGACTCTCTAACATAAACCCCAGCATACTGTTCTCCGAGCAAACAAGCTTTTTCGTGATCCGTGACAACAGCAGTGCCGTCCGGGCCAAACAACACTGGGATGCACGAATTCATGTTGCTTCATGTCCCTCTTCTCCCCTTTAGCTTTCCCCTCCAACAACCATCTCATATATGATATTGTGCACATGTTACCTTTTTAGCCGTTGTAGTCAGTAACATTTAATCTCTTGTCCCTTTTGTATTACGGTGCATTAGCTAAGGTGTGTTTCTCACTCACGGCTGTATATTGATAAGGAGGATGGCAGTAAGTTTTACAGTCTATAAAAGACTACTCGAAATACTTTGTGAGTGCTCAGTAGGTATAGATGACAAATCCCGAATACATCTCGCACAGCCTAAGGTACAACGCATCATTCGGCACACATATCGCCAAGTAATGATGGTTGATTAAAGGCCAATCAATCTAAGTCTACAAATATTTTGTGTTAACTGAGCAAATAGACGAGTGAAGTGCACAGTGCTTCAATTTAATGTGTGTCCTCCATTGACACTGGAGACGTTCTTATATAGTAAAAGTCAATGTTTATTAGGTGGATACCGGCTAGATGAATAATACCAGAAATACGGAGACCGGTGACGGTCAAATATCTATTGTGTGCTGGCGCAGATTCGGCCGCCGTCAGTTTAACGTTGTTCTACAGTCAGGGGATCGTAGATTCCTCTACTCATGGTAAATTCCTAGACTAAGTCATTCCATGATCTTCCAATCTAGTAGGCTTACCTGTTACCAAGGACCAGCCCTTGATTGCATCAGTGGAACTAAGTGACCATAACAAGAACTGGAATAAAACGAACAGGTTCACACTGCTATCCGACTTGGTACACATAATGGCAGTCTGCAATTGCCTTGTGGACGCCAACACAGGAACAATTCTCTCAGCCGAAACGGAGACCCCATCGACGTTAACATATAGATATGCAGTCAAAATGGTACATGTAGTGACCTATCCGAGGTCGAATACCAAAGTGCTGATTAGATTCATGTGCTTGCTGTGTTGCTCGGGTGACACGGTAATTATCACATATGGCAGTGTGGTCGAATGCGTGCTACTATGGCGGCTATTTATATAAACGTCTGTGTGCAAAGTGGTACCAGAGTGGTGACACAGGTTGGAGCGTTCTTCACTGTGGCTTACTGAGAGATGAGGTTACTGTCCTCCTTATTTGTTGGTTCTTGGCTTATTGCTTTGGCGCCTGAAAATTTTTCGAGTAAGTGTCTTTGATTCTATTTCTCCGCAAGCGCCCGTAAATATACTGTTAAATTTGTGGTGATCAGGATTTTTCTACTAATATTTTAATTATTTGTAATCGAACATATGTTTTCGGTAATTCATCATCAGGCTTGTACCGAGAATCCAAATTTATATTCATACCCAACGGGTCGTCAGCCAATTAATTCTAGTGCGCGATAATACTCACCGACGGTCAAGTCCCCGCTGTAGTCACACGCTCGCAAGGGTCGACTGCAATCCGTCCTGGCCAAGGTAGACTAAACACGTGAGTGAACCTTTTCTGCGTGCACAGCCGTGGTTCGTATAAGCGAATGGCGATGACTACTGCGGCATATAATATCCGCTTAAGGAAATACTTTGTTCCATTTTCTGGGGCTTGTTAGATTACTTTGAACGAATCAGCAGACTTGGTGGCGAGATCCGAATCCACAAGATGCGCGGCAATGGCAGAGTTGGTGACCTTTCGACATCCATTTCTGAGCTAGGCCGAATGGTCTTCCTTCACCCTTTCGGATAAGCGCCTATTCGTACAATCAACTAACCTGCCCCATAGGAACAGATGAAGGACTAGTCTCACTTTAAACTGGTGTGGAAAGACAGCTTGCCCTAGAGGTTTAGTCTCACCATTGGGCTGCTGGTGAATCAGATTTGCATCCTCATCGTATCCTTGCGAATTAGCTTATTCTGTTCCATAGCCGTGGGACCAATGCTATTCCAGGGGGAACTAAGACACCATTTTACGAAAGAGCTAAGGGAACTTTGCGTGATATTACTGATGGCTGTTGTCCAAGCTAACGCGATTTCAGGCCCCCGCTTTTCATTTTCAACATAACAGGAGGCATGCAACACAACTTCATTAGTCGGATCTTCCAGGTGTCCGAATGCACCGATGTAGTTTTCTGGGAATAACAATCCACTAGCTAAATTTTCGGTTGCTACTATTGTCAAATAACTATCGTCAACCGAGTTCTCTGTCCTGATTTATGCAGCGTTACGAAGTCTGCTAAATGAAGTGGCGATAGGACTAAGATTCCCCATCCGGTGCATTTTGTAAAGATGCAGTTGACCGGAATCAGTTGCTTTGTAGCCCAACGTTTTCTTCTTTCGTATTGCAACGTGGGAAAGCAGATTGGAACCAGCGCTAGTTAGATTTAAACTTACGACTACTGCTTCTCGACCTGGAGAAACTTGGGGGAAATCCGACCGCGATACAATGGTGGCATAATCTAAAATGTCTTTGTTGGTTACAAATGCAGTACATGACTGTCTGGTTGAACTCGTAGATAGTTCACCAGATTAACCAAAGGCTAGCTTTGTTTGGTAGCGGATTCATGGCATATTGTTGAATTGATTGTGTATTTCTGGGTAGTCGTTTTCCATTCATTCAATGAACCGGGAACAGTGGTGTCAACCGATGTATCGGAAAGTAGGGAGTACGTTTTGAAAGTATGATAAGAGAGAAATGAACATCGTCTAATAGTAAGTGTACGGTTAAGCTGTACCATTTCAATTTGCGCCAGTTTCATTCCCCATTAGGCATAACATCTCTTACTGGAAGATCTTTTTGGTTTGAGATCGCGGTGCAGAACAGGTGAATGATATAGGCGGCTCACTTTCAGTCACTCAACAGCATGTTTTGAGGCCATACAAAGCCCTCATCAGACTACGAAATGTGAACAACATACCGATCGCCGTACCTTAACAGACGTTTAAGAAGCGATTAGCCCTCCTTTTGGGCTAGGCAGTTGTTTCCAGACACATCCAGTAGCCTGACTGCTTACAGAGGGAAGCCAGCTGCACCCAGAAAGGAGACAATAGGTGACCTTCATGGCACTCCTCACGTGCCCATTCGCAGTTCAAGTCTAAAAGAACAAAAACCAGAGGACAGCAATGTAAAATCATCATCTTTAGTCATCACTCCACACACCATTAACAAATATTTTTCCTCGGTTATGGGAAGCATAGCTGTAGTATTTTAATGTCAGTATGGCATGATGGCAGCCTTCAGAGCTAAGCACCTGAGTGACACTGGGGGAAAGTTCACCATCGGGGCGAACACTGCTATCCAAAAAGGTCGACTGAGCAGGACACTTGATATACAGTCGGAAATGTGAATGTCAGTGGCCAAAACAAGAGCCAGGGCAGCTTGCCAAAACGTGTCTTATTTATGGCCTAAACCTGAAGCTGAACGTAGTCCAGTCAAATGTAGTAAAGCTTTTGAAGAAGAACTAGTGTTTCAATCACCTCAACGTGTTCAATCCTAAGCTTTCTGGCCTATCCCCGCACGAACTGCATGATGCGCCTTGGTACTGCTTGGTATACGCGACAATTCCAGTTGCGAACTTCGTAGTTGTGCTGATTAGAAAATGCAGCATGCAAGCTGATGAACACATGGACTTCTCCACCGGAGGTAACTAGTGCGATGCTTGCGTCTCAGTATTCCCGCCAGATTCTACCTAATAATAATGTAGAGCCGGCGTTCCAAATACACTGTACAGCATGGGCCTTTAAAAATCGGAAACACCCCCCACCCGTGAGGTAGCAGGAAGTGTCTACTATACATGCTCACATTTTCATTCAACTGACAGCACTCAATGGTTAGTACACAATACCTAATGTTCAGAGCCAGCTATGTAAACACCAAAGCAAAGCGTTTTAAACTGGTTACTACGGAAAAGTAGCTAAATAATCAGTTGTTGTACCGAGATTAGTTAACGTGATGCAAATTGTGGGACTATCATCGTTGCTGCTTACTAAGCTGCTAAAGACATCTCCAGCGCGCTTCACCGAACTCGTAGTTGCCAGGATAAACCACGATGCATTGACTGTTAGGTCTGACAATTTTCGTAAATTCTAGTCCAGTGTAACAAAGATTAAACAGAAATAAAGTAGAAGCCGGTAGATTTCTATCCGTGATGCCATTAGTATTCAGACTGAGCCTCTCACAACGAAAAATGTCACGTGCCACTCATGTTTGTGCGCTATGATGAACATAGGCCTCGTTCGATAGAACCGAATTCTACTGATGTTGCAAAGTCCGTGCTGTTGCAGTCAACTCGGTTTCTTAATTCGTCACGTGAGCATTCGTGCCGTCGAACCCCCACTGGGACAAAAAGCATGACGAGATGGAACACGTGAACAAGTCGAAACTATGCAACATGTGAACGGTGTTACCGTGTGGAGCGTTAACACCTCGATGCAGTTTGGTTACAGTTATGATGTTCTTTCTCTTGGTAACGCCATCGTAATATAGTTGATGGGAATGTCGGTTTGCGAAATTAGGGTCACCGTTTTAGGGAATAGTGACAGTCACTTTATCAAACTGGTTTAAACCCATTGGCAGCCGAAATGCAGCTGATGGTAACGTACACACGGCCACTGAGGGGTAGCAAATAATTGGAAAGGGTAAAGCTAGTGAAATGGTCTCTTGCGGACATCCGCGGGACGACACAGACAGTGGCACTCATAAAACCCGACGAAATGCTGCGAAATTTGACCGTCGTCAAAACGCGGAAGGATTTGTAAATTTCACTGAAGTAAAATCAGGGATCGTTGTGTCGTCTGGAAATAAAGAACAGTTGATCCCTCAACGGTCGGTAAAGCTTCTGATCTGAACCTGACATCTACTTATGCATTAACAAACTCCGAAAATCCATGCTGTCTATGTGCAACGCATAAGCCACAGCTAGTAAAGTTATCAAGATGGAATCAAATAAGTCGTACGACAGTATGATAGTGCATTTGTCCGCTAAGTGTCGGCACCGTGATCTTGCCCAAGTCAAGATAACCCTACGCGTTAGATCTCTAGCCTAGAAAGATAAAACTGAGCGAGGTGATTCTGAATTACAAAGCAACTTCCACCCTTAAATAACCACTAAACCAGAGATTCATGTCTGATTCACTTTGGGAGCTTGCAAGAAGAACGTAAAGTTGTGGTAAAAGAGCACACTGAATGCTCTTAGCTGATTGCTTAACAGAAATCGAGTGAGAAACATTAATACGGAAGCCGAATTCACCGGTCGCCAAACCACCGAGACCGAAGACCTTCCCTACTTCCTCTAAGTCATGTCTTTAAGGAATAAGTACAAGTAAGCCTTTAGTACGGTGACTTATCAAAGTCTGTCCCAGTCCATAAACTTAGAATTCACACGACACAGCGCTTGCCACGTGCATCGCTGGATCCAAATAATAGGTGACAGACCGACGGAAACTGGTGAAAAGAACACCCGAAATGTAAACGCAATTAAAAACATCTTACCGGTATGCAGCACACCACTCGTTACAACTGTAGGGCATACACATACAGCAAGAACATTGCCAAACGCCTGTGCCTCCATGTTTTAAAAGGTAGTAGAAGGCAATTGGTACTAACCTTCTGCCTACTACATTCACTACATCATCAGAATTCGCCCGTAGTTCTTTTAGCACAGGTGCGGTGTCGAGGAGCAAATTCTCTCATTTTTACCCAGACAAATATCAAGTTTCGTTAAGGTGGAAACGATGGGGTCTCCAAATATGCATGAAAGATCTAACTTTGTGAACGACGCTGCTGCTTGAGATTTTCAGGTTTATTGAAGTGAATATCGCAGTTACCTTGAGCAGTCACCTGGAAAACGACAACCTCTTGCACTGTAGCAGTACGGTCTCGTCAATGCTATCGTGGAGCATAATCCAGCTTTTTAGGATCTGCAGCGTAACCGGAGTAATCGATGGTGGAGCGAGTGTTTCTCTCCTCTATCTGAGCTTTTCAGATAGGCTTGGCCAGTTGGATCATCCTATTTTCCTATATTGGCTATAAGGTTTTGTCTATTAAATTCCTAGATGTATAGGAAGTTCTGCCCATGCATCTGACCTTGAAAGCCGAGTACAAGTAGGCCTGTCTAAACACAATTCATGTCAAGTAGAGAATATCACACGGTTTAAATCCGTGGGTGCTCCCGTCCTTGGTGTTTAAGAATGCGAGCAAGGATGATGAGT